ATGAGCAATGCCAGCAGCCAATGTCGGTGCAAAAGAATAATCTGTATGATTATTTCATATACAGTCCAAAAAAATGCTTTTCTTACTTAGATTTTTGTCTTATTTTGAGTCCAAATATCTAAAGATTCTCAAATCAAGAAGAATTGTCTAGACAAGCAAAACACACTGTCTTGTTTTGAGAAATAATATGCCAATATTAAGTGAGTTTTTCCATAAAACAAGCAAAATAATCTGCCAATGGGGTAAGCAAAATAATCTTGTTTTTCCTTTTGACATAAGATTATTTTGCTTGTTTTAAGGAAAAATTTACTTAATATTGGCATATTATTTCTCAAAACAAGACAATATGTTTTGCTTGTCTAGACAATTCTTCTTCATTTGAGAATCTTTAGATATTTGGACTTGAAACAAGACAAAAAATCCAGGTACTCCAGGTGCACTGCAAACAATGGTTTTCTTTCTTAAATATTTTTTCTTGTTTCTAGTCCAAATATCTGAAAATTCCTAAATCAAGAAGAGTTTTCTACACAAGCAAAACATATTTTCTTGTTTTGAAAAATAATATGCCAATAATATGTGAGTTTTTCCTCAAAACAAGCAAAATAATCTGCCAATGGGGTAAGCAAAATAATCTTACGTCAAAAGAAAAAACAAGATTATTTTGCTTACCCCATTGGCAGATTATTTAGCTTGTTTTAAGGAAAAACTCACTTATTATTGGCATATTATTTCTCAAAACAAAAAAATATGTTTTGCTTGTCTCGAAATTGCCTCTTGATATAAGAAATTTTAGATATTTAGACTAGAAACAAGACAAAAAATCTAAGCAAGAAAAGCATTTTTTGCAGTGTAACCCAGCATTTTTTGCAGTGTACTACTTTGTTGAACTATTTCATGAAAATATTTTTGTTAATTATCATTATTCTACAGAAATGTATATACCAGTAAAAGAGCAGCAAAGTTGGTTTATTGGTAAGAGTTAGCAATCCGAGGGTAAGTTTTTGTTTTTAGCAAATGTCTATAGGTTCAATACTATTAGCTAAGCTAAGTGTTTCCTGCATTGATGTCACATGTGCTGCTTTTCTCTGGTGTGGGTTTTCATGTGTGTCTTAAGATGCTCTGACTGTGTAAAACTCTTCAGGCACTGATCACATGTGTACGGTTTCTCTCCAGTGTGAATCCTCTCGTGTTTTTTCAGGTTTCCTAACAGACTAAATCTCTTGACGCAGTGTGAACACGTATATGGTTTCTCTCCAGTGTGGATCCTCTCATGTGTTTTCAGGTTTCCTGGCAGACTGAATCTCTTGTCGCAGTGTGAACACTTGTACGGTTTCTCTCCAGTGTGATTCATCTGATGCCATTTCAATTTATCAGCCGTAATAAAAGTCTTCTCACACTCAAAGCACATATACTCTTTCACACCAGTGTGGATCTTCTGATGTTTTCTTAAACTTGACTGCCATTTAAAACTATTTCCACACTCAGAACAGGAATAAGGTTTCTCCTTTGTGTGAACTCTAAGATGGATCTTCAGGTCTGGAGCCCTATTAAATGTTTTGCCGCATTGATCACATTTGTGTGTTTTCTCTCCAGTGTGAATTAGCATGTGTTCATTAAGCTTTGCTAATTGCCCGAAACTCTTCCCACATGTGAATAGTTTGTCTCCAGTGTGGATCCTCATGTGAACTCTAAGACTGCGTTTGCATCCCAAACTCCTTCCACACTGACCGCAGGTAAAACAAGTCTTGTCTTCACTTTTTTGAATTAAAAAAAATACCATCAAACATTAAATGAGTCTTTTTCACAGATTTTACAAGGTTATCACCTCTGTTCTCATTTTCTTTCAGGTCTGAAAGCAAAAAAAGAAAGTGGAAAAAATGTTTAGCAATTTATAAAAATATATATTTTTTAAGTATGCATTTTTATTGTCATTCTTAAAACCAAAATCAGGTTTGTAACATATTAAGGATTATATTTTTTACCTGTATTTTAAAAACCTTTAGTAAATGTAAAACAAATCAACAAGTCAAATTTAGTTTAGTTTTATGATATTAAATGTTTAATAAACAATTTATTAATGGAAGTACCAGGCAAATTAGATTCAGTTCCTGTATTGTTCTTTATCCCAGTTAATGTAGAATCAGCAATAAACACCAACCTGTTTGTTCTTCAGTCTCTTCCTGTTTAATTCTGCAGGGTTCTGGATCACTCATGATCTCTCTGTCCGTCATTAAACTGTGTTTTTGCAGATTTCTTTTCTTCCTGCTGGTCTGAAGCTCGTCTTCACTTGTGGACTGATGGAAAATTCCAGAATTTATAGCTAAAGAGGAGGGGGAGGAGCTTCACAGCAGGAGGAGGAGCTTTAACAGAGTTGCCAGGTTTTCACAACAAAAGTTACTCAATGGCCAATCAGCAGTGTTCGTGGGGTCTTAAAAAGTATTAAAAGTTGATAATCAGTTATGAGAAAATTAAGGCCCTAAAAAGTCTTAATTGTGTTTTTATGAGGTCTTAAATTTTGTTCAAGCGTTGTCCAAAGTTATTGTCTCTAAAAAACTATTAATATATTTATTTTCCTTTTAATATTAACAATGGTTCAGGCTGGTGTGCATCCGGTCAAGCTTCTCCGTTCGGGTGATGTCACGTATTTGCGACAAACGTAGGAAGGTGATGTGATGCTCTCCACATGTAGTGAAACCATACAGCCTAACAGACGGCAAAATGTTAACATGTAGGTTTGCGTACTCCTTCCTGGAAAAAGACGAGTTTAAACAGTGACTGAAACCTGTCGCTGAAAACAACCGCGTCATTTATTCTTTCAAGCTTTGTTTCTTCCGAGCTTATCTGAGTGCTGTTGCATGGTTGTGCTCTGTTGATTTTTTAATTAACTGTTTAAGTTAAATGTTTAATGCCTGAAGTAGCGATGAGGTCTTAAAATATTCTGAGAAGGTCTTTAAAAATTTTTAAAAAAGGTATTGACATTAGCTTTAGGATTCCAATACTCTGATCAAACTAGCGCAAAACAAGCCTAAACTAAAAATATGGCATTTCATCTGTAAAAATTTATATTTTACATCACGAAATGACTTCCAATGTCCTTTTTAATCACTGTGGGTAATGGTAAACATTCAGTTTTCATAAATGAAATCATCTTACCTTATATTGAAATTTCAATATAAATTTCAGCAATTAAACACCCTTAATGTGTTCACGATATTTACATTGTTTACTTCAGTCTCACACTATTACTGTAGATGATCTGATAAATTGTATTGTTTCATATTTAACTGTATGATTTCTCAATATGCTGAAAAAAGAAAATCACACAATGACGGTCAAACATTTCTACTTGCCAATATAAATTAATCTGTTTTTAAGTACCACATTCATGACACCAACACTGGTTTCAATAGGTGATTGTGTTGTTTAATGGAGTCTGTTGACTCAAAATGAGCTTAATTGGGGAATTTACACATGTGAAGACATCAGCATAATGAAGGAGGTGAAAACAGACACAATTGACATGAACTATTGAGGATTTCAGCAGCTCTGATTATAGTGATGAGCCTCAGACTATTAACGGCCATTAAACAAGCCATTCAGAAGTGTCCACTGATCTGCCCGCTTAAAAAATAAAGACAACCGAGTTTTATTCTCTATTTTGTCCATGTATTTTCTAAAATTCAAGCTGTCAACACTATAGAAAGTAATTACAGTAAAGATTGAACAGTGTAATGAAGTATATTGCTAAATGATAAAACATATGCTAAGTCAAAAAAATCTGTTTAAAGCTATGCTGGTTGTTTTATAATGTTTTAATGGTGTTGGAAGCTTGCTGCAGACACAAAAAATACTGTAGATGTGCGATAAATTGTATTGTTTTATATTTAACAGGGTTTGATTTTTTTAAATATACAGAGAACTAAATAAACACACAATGAAAGTCAAACATTTCTACTTGGGAATATGAATCTAAACGCATCTGTTTTCAATCACTATATTCATTAAAGTGTAAGTCTATTGAAGCATTTAGATTTCTACCTTCCAATCTGTCTCATCATGGATCAACGTTTATCCTTTTCTCTTCATCCTGTGTCTCATTACTTTTATTAAAGATGAATATTGAATAATGAATAAGTAAACACATTGCTTAATATAAGAATGTTCAGTGCATTTGCCTGTCTCTTTGTAAATATTTTCAGGAGTCACCAAACCATTTCAATTTTCAATCACTACATTCAATAAAATATTAGTCTATCAATACTGATACTGACCTTTCAATAACCCCAACCCCTTGGTTACTGTTAAGTTAGTAATGAGTAAATAACTATTTAAAAAATGACTATTTGTCCTTAAATGGTTTTAAAACAAAAAATTCTGAAGTTTGAAAAGTCTATACAAATTAAGTTGTTTTAAATTTCAGATGTTCAATAATCAAGTTAAGAAATAGAAATATAAAACATTTCTAATAGGACATAATCAGTATTATTAACTTACAATTGTTAATAATTCAATTTAACACAATTCCAATACAGATTGTTTTGGCTGATTATTAGCTCCATAAATACACAGATGAGGTGAACATTTTGCAATGAAAACTGGTCGCACGACAACAATTTTGAACAATGTACTCGCACATATGCTCTCAAATACATTTTGAGGTCACATAGATAAAATTGTGAACAAATGCAACCAAAACAGTCACTATTTCGAGCCCTGCAAATTTAAATTTAAGCAGGTTTAAGCACTTTGTCAAAAACCTAAGCACTTTTCTAACCTTGAAAACACAACATTAAAAATCAAGCTTTTTCCAGGATTTCCAGCACCCGTAAAAACAATTTGGCAAGAACTGAAAAATGTGACCAAAAAGCTGGAGTTTGCAAATTAATTTAAAAACTGTCCCATGTAATATCTGTCCCCCAGCTGAAATTATTCAAATATACCATATTCTGATTTGCTGCCCTACAAAGTGAACGTGGTAAAAGAAGAGAACTTTAAACGTCGGAGTAAAGAAAATTTATTGATAAAACAAAATACACAAAACAACTGGACAGACTTTCCACACTCATCTCTCTCACACCTGTATTTCCTGATGTTCACACAATAAATACTCGTTCCAGATGAGAAACTGTTTTGCTGCATTGATGTCAAGTGTGCTGCTTTTCTCCAGTGTGGATTTTCATGTGTTTCTTAAGAGTAATCAACTGTGAGAAACTCTTCAGACACTGATCACATGTGTACGGTTTCTCTCCAGTGTGAATCCTCTCATGTGTTTTCAGGCTTCCTGACTGACTGAATCTCTTGTCGCAGTGTGAACACGTATACCTTTTCTCTTCAGTGTGAATCCTCTCATGTGTTTTCAGGCTTCCTGGCTGACTGAAGCTCTTGTCGCAGTGTGAACACGTATACGGTTTCTCTCCAGTGTGAATCCTCTCATGTGTTTTCAGGCTTCCTGGCTGACTGAAGCTCTTGTCGCAGTGTGAACATGTATACGGTTTCTCTCTAGTGTGAATCCTCTCATGCTGTTTCAATTCTCCAGCTGTAATAAAAGTCTTCTCACACTCAAAGCACAGATACTCTTTCACACCAATATGGATCTTCTGATGTGTTCTTAAATTTGTCTGCTGTGTAAAACTCTTTCCACACTCAGAACAGGAATAAGGTTTCTCCTTTGTGTGAACTCTAAGATGGATCTTCAGCTCTGTAGCCCTGTAAAATGTTTTGCCGCATTGATCACAATTGTGTGGTCTCTCTCCAGTGTGAATCATCATGTGTAGATTAAGGCTTGATAATTGTGTGAAACTCTTCCCACATTGAGTACAGGTAAATGGTTTCTCTCCAGTGTGGATCCTCAAGTGAATTTTAAGACTCTTTTTGCCTTTTAAACTCTTTCCACACTGACTGCAGGTAAAATCATTCGTGTCTTCACTTTGCATTAAAAAAATAACTTCAGTCATTAAATGAGTCTTTTTTCCAGATTTTAGAAAGTTATGGCCTCTGCTCTCCTCATTTTTTTTCGGGTCTGAAAGTATAAAAGTACAAAAAAAAAGTTTAGCAAATCATAAAAATATCTGAATTAAAATTTTATGTGGGTATTTTTTATCGTTCTTAAAACCAATATCAGGTTTGGGATTAGATTTGTTTAGTTATAATTTAAAAACCTTCATGTCAAATTTAGTTTAGTTTTATGATATTAAATGTTTATTAAACATTTTATTAATGGAAGTACCAGGCAAATTAGATTCAGTTCCTATATTTTACACAACATTCAATTATTATTGTTTTTTATCCTGAGTAATGTAGAATCAGTAATAAACACCAACCTGTTTGTTCTTCAGTGTCTTCCTGTTCAATTCTGCAGGGTTCTGGATCACTCATGTTCTCTCTGTCCATCATTAAACTGTGTCTTTGCAGATTTCTCTTCTTCCTGATGGTCTGAAGCTCGTCTTCACTTGTGGACTGATGGGAATATTCCAGAATTTATAGCTGAAGTGATGAGTGGGAGGAGCTTTACAGCAGGAGGAGGAGCTTTACCAGAGTTGTTTTCACAACAAAAGTTACTCAATGGCCAATAAAACTAGCGCAAAACAAGCCTAAACTAAAAATAAGCCTTCTCATATGTAAAAATTAATATTTTACATCACTGAATGACTTACAGTGTCTTTTTAATCACTGTTAGTAATGGTAAACATTTAGTTTTCTTAAATGAAATCATCTTATCTTCCTATTGACAGCTGAAGAACCAAATCCTTCAGCTGGCTGTGGTGTTTTTTAGAACTGTTTGAATAAACTATGTACAGACCCATTCTGATTCTACTCTACATCTTGGTGATTATTATCACACGTGCATATTAAACAAGGCCAGCATATCTTTCTTTGGTTCAAACTGATGACAGCAGATTCTTTGTCTTTGCATCAATGCTTGCATGTGAAGGATGTCCTCAAGAAGGTTCATCAAATTCCGTTACCTCAGAAAAACGTACTCAGAAAACAGAGAACGTGTCCTGTGAGATATAAGATGCTGTGTGCTTCCTGATGGTCATCGTGTGACCTTGACACATTTATAATGGAAAATTATTGAAACGTTACATCATTCAAACATGCAGAAAAGCTTTACATATATACTTTGCACAATACAAATAAAGCAGATTACAATATGCATTTCAGCAAATAAACACCCTTAATGTGTTCACGATACTCATATTATTGTTTACTTCAGAGTCTCACACTATTACTGTAGAGCAGGGGTGTCAAACTCAGTTCCAAAAGGGCCGCAGCTCTGCACAGTTTAGTTTCAACCCTGCTCCAACACACTTACCTGTAGGTTTCAAACAAGCCTGAAGGACTCAATTAGTTTGATCAGGTGTGTTTAATTAGGGTTGGAACTAAACTGTGCAGAGCTGCGGCCCTTTTGGAACTGAGTTTGACACCTGTGCTGTAGATGATCTGATAAATTGAATTGTTTCATATTTAACTGTATGATTTCTCAATATACTGAAAATAGAAAATCACACAATGACAGTCAAACATTTCTACTTGCCATTATAAATCAATCTGTTTTTAAGTACCACATTCATGACACCAACACTGGGTTCAATAGGTGATTGTGTTGTTTAATGAAGTCTGTTGACTCAAAATGAGCTTAATTGGGGAATTTACACATGTGAAGACATCAGCATAATGAAGGAGGTGAAAACAGACACTATTGACATGAACTATTGAGGATTTCAGCAGCTCTGATTATAGTGATGAGCCTCAGACTATTAACAGCCATTAAACAAGCCATTCAGAAGTGTCCACTGATCTGCCCACTTAAAAAATAAAGACAACTGAGTTTCACTCTTTCATCCAAACTTTATTTCAAGTCTACAGGTTAGAAAATAATCACAGCAAAGATTAAACAGTACAATACAATCTATTGCTAAATGATAAAACATATGCGAAGACATAATCCTACATTTATAACTATGCTGGTTGTTTTATACTGATTTAATGGTGTTTGAAGCTTGCTGCACACACTGAGAATACTGTAGATGTTCTGATAATGGTATTGTTTTATATTTAACATGGTTTGGTTTTTTATGTACACAGAAAATATAATCAACGGTCAAATGTTGTTACTTGGGAATATAAAATTTAATTAATCTGTTTTCAATTACTACATTCATTATTAGTTTAGCAATACCGGTACTGGCCGATCAATAAGCCCCACCCCCCTTGGTTACTGTTGCTAACTCAAACAGAGTTAATAACTATTTTAAAATGATTATTTGCCCTTAAATGGTTTTGACACATATTTGATGAAAACATGTGGTGTCTAAGATTAATTTAGAAGCAAGTAGATCACCATGAAAGCTGGATGCAGTTATCTTGATCACACATAAACATCTCCATAGACAGACAGCTGATAGTAAAATATTCATGCTTTTAAAAATTCTCCTAAAAACTTGTCCTATTTTGAATATAATTGTAAAGGTGAACACTGGCTGGCCGTTTTCTGTGAGACCAAATAGAAGAACAGTTTGAGGACAAGAATTGAAAAATACATAAATAATAAAGTAAATCTGAGACTAAAAGCTAGAGAGGCAATACAAGTTAATTAAAAAAATGGTGCCATGTTATATCTGTCCCCCAGCTGACATTATTAAAATATACAAAGCAAATGTATAAAACAGGAGAGAATCTTGAACTTCAGAGTAAAGAAAATTTATTGATGAAACAAAATACACAAAACAAATGGACAGACTTTCCACACTCACTCTCTCACACCTAGGGTTGAGAATCGTTTTTGGGTTATTTTGATACCGGTGCTGGTGGAAGAGTTTTATTTTGATGGAATTTGATATTGCACGCTGAATGGAAAGTAAAAACCTCTGCATTTCGTGACTCAGGTGTCTGTGGTCCTTTAAGGTAATCAAAAATGGCTGTTTACATGATAGATATATCAAAATCAGAGTATTGGTGTCCATGTAAACATACTCAGTGAAAGTGGCAGATGATGTAGCAAGCTGTCAAAGACAGGACGTCCCTCTGCCTTGATTGATTCCATTGTGACTCCTTAGTTGATCATGCGCTCTCAAATGTTTTAAGTTTGCCGTGTTTCTTTCCTTAAATGAAACTTTTGAAAAGTATCTGCTTAACGTCGGTTAGTCAGAATCCTTGTTTGTAAAATATGGTCATACTTCAGAATGTTTAGTTTTAGCTAATTTGATCAATTTGCCTACGTTCATACGTTCCTTAAGCAACAGAAACAAACCGCTTACATCACCAAGAGTATCTGAATACCTCAAAGTTGTTTAAATGTTTAGAGATGGTGTGACACAACTTTGTGTGTCTTTTATGTACCCTTTGATGCTTCTTACGTCCTTGTCGCAGCACCAGTGGCACCGAAATTCATTTGCTGATTCAACCCGCTGCACATCAGTTACATAGATACCAGTTACCCAACCCAGCTCACACCTGTATTTTCTGAAGTTCATACATTAAAGACTCGTTCCAGATGAGAAACTGTTTTGCTGCATTGATGTCAAGTGTGCTGCTTTTCTCCAGTGTGGATTTTCATGTGTTTCTTAAGAGTAATCAACCTTGTGAAACTCTTCAGACACTGATCACATGCGTACGGTTTCTCTCCAGTGTGAATCCTCTCATGTGTTTTCAGGTGTCCTGTCTGACTGAATCTCTTATTGCAGTGTGAACACCTGTAAGGTTTCTCTCCAGTGTGAATCCTCTCATGTGTTTTCAGGTGTCCTGTGTGACTGAATCTCTTATTGCAGTGTGAACACTTGTATGGTTTCTCTCCAGTGTGATTCATCTGATGCAGTTTCAATTCTCCAGCTGTAATAAAAGTCTTCTCACACTCAAAGCACAGATACTCTTTCACACCAGTGTGGATCTTCTGATGGGTTTTTAAATTTGTTATCCGTGTAAAACTCTTTCCACACTCAGAACAGGAATAAGGTTTCTCCTTTGTGTGAACTCTAAGATGGATCTTCAGCTCTGAAGCCCAATAAAATGTTTTGCCGCATTGATCACATTTGTGAGTTTTCTCTCCAGTGTGGATACGCATGTGTTTATTAAGGTTTGATAAATCTCTGAAACTCTTCCCACACTGAGTACATGTGCATGGTTTCTCTCCAGTGTGGATCCTCATATGAATCTTAAGACTCTGTTTGTCTCTCAAACTCTTCCCACACTGAGTACATGTGCATGGTTTCTCTCCAGTGTGGATCCTCATGTGAATCTTAAGACTCTGTTTGCCTCTCAAACTCTTTCCACACTGACTGCAGGTAAAATCATTTCGGTCTCCACTTTCCATTGAAAAAATACCTCCAGTCAGTAAATGAGATGTTTTCCCAGCTTTTACGAGTGTCTGCTCTTCCCTCTTCTCATTTTCTTTAAGGTCTAAAATAAATATGAATAAATTAGCAAGTAAAAAAACAAAGAGACTCAAAACACTGAAGACACACAAACCTTCTCAATGGTAATATCAGGTTTGCAACATATTAAATATAAAAATGCATTATTTTATTTAGAAATTTAATAATCTGAACAAAACAAATCTCCTCTGGTAATATTTAGTTTGATCTTGTGATAGTAAATGTTTAATAAACCTTTTACACATGGCAAAAGAGATGCAGTCTCTATATTTTACACTGCTAATGAAGTGCATTTATTTTTTGTCTTTTAAAAAACACATTTCCTAGTGCACATAAACAAATAAACTGATTAAAGTGTTTTAATCCTTATTGTCTTTAGCCTAAATAATGAAGAATCAGCAATAAACACCAACCTGTTTGTTCTTCAGTCTCTTCCAGTTTAAATCTGAAAGGTTCATGATCACTCATGTTCTCTCTTTCCTTCAATAAACTCGGCCTTTCAGATTTCTCTTCCTCCTGATGGTCTGAAGCTCGTCTTCACTTGTGGACTGATGGGAATATTCCAGTATTTATAGTTGAACTCATGAGGGGGAGGAGCTTCACTATAGGGGAGGAGCTTCATTACAGGGAGGAGCAGACCTGCCAATAGTAGAAATTCTTCAGTCATTTTCTTCTAATTAACACGATCTTTGTTTGCTTATATGTACCTCGCCATATTTATAAATGGATTTGAAAGTGTTTTATACTAACATAATATCACAAAGTATATCTATTTTATTGCAAAGATGATAAATATCAAATATAATCAATATATGAAAACAAAAAAACGACTCTCCCATCACTGTGGTTGTAGATACTTATTTATTGTCTTTTTCAAGAATCATGGTTTATCATAGAATAGTGAAAATAATGATGTTAACACAGACTCATAGTAAATATGTGCCCAGGGCTACTTTTTTTTGTTTTTGCAAACCCTAAACTACGCTGCTCCGGTAACGTTTTCTTGTAGCTAGTGATGACAAACAGTGATTACCACGACTGTCAGATTCTCTTTACAAATCTACTAGAGGCCGTCGTCTACATTTTTATGAATCTCAAAGACATTGCCGGGTTGTGTGTTTTTTTTTTTTTTTTTGTTTAGAAATGTGACATTTACATGTCATTATTTTATGCGTCTATGAAAAGCCTGGTCTTGTTATACATGTTGTCATACATCACCCTGTAATCAGCTGACCTAAACTAGTTCTTAAACACAACCGATAGTGTTTTCAAAAGCAAATGTAAAAAGAAAATTGCATTGTGGCCACATAGCTTTACCCCAATTTTACCTGTTACCTACACCAGGGGTTCTCAAACTGTGGTACATGTACCTCTAGCGGTACATGGCCTTCCTTTTAGTGGTGTGCAGAGGAATCAAATGTGTCATATGTAAAGCTAAATATATTTAAAAATGTATCAAAATGTATTTATATATGAATATGATGACATATAGCCTGTATTTATTAGGTCCAGGCAACATTTCCAGGTGTTGATAAATAGATTCTATATGTTATTACTTTAAATTTTGATAAAAAAAAAAATATTTTTTACTTTTTATAAACAGTAACCTACCATTTTCAACTTTTAAAAGCACATTTTTATTTAAATGTTGACGTTTTAGTTTTTGATAAATATGAACACAGTACAGTGATAATGTTCAAACTATGTATAATGTTTAAAGTGGCTGACAATAATAAATATTTTTAATAATCGGAATTAATCTGTCTCATTTTTGAACTGTACAGAGCTGCAGCTGCTTTACTGGGCCTACTGCGCTACTGTATTTCAATACTGGTTATTGTGGTGGTACTTGGAGAGACAAGTTTTTTCCGAGGTGGTACTCGATAAAAAAAGTTTGAGAACCACTGATCTAGACTATCCTTCATTGGATTGTAGCCTAGGAGCTCTGCATCCCAAGTACAACAAGGTGAGCCACTGAGCAAACTGATTTGATTTCTCTTCCTCCTGATGGTCTGAAGCTCGTCTTCACTTGTGGACTGATGGGAATGTTCCAGTATTTATAGCTGAAATGATGAGGGGGAGGAGCTTCACTACTGGGGAGGAGCAGATCAGCCAATAGTAGAAATTCTTCAGTCATTTTCTTTTCCTCTAATTAACACATTCTCTGTTCATTTATATTCCTCATTATTTATAAATGATAATCAAAGTGTTTTATACTAATATACTGTTAATATACTAAAATCTGTTTTAAAGCAAAAATGAGAAACACCAACTGGAAACAAAAACCAACCTTCCCATCAACTGTGAATAACTTGTTTATTGTGTTATCTGGGAATCATGGTTCATCACAGAATAATGAAATTAATGCTGTTAACACAGGTTCATTGGTGATATGTGCCCAGGGCTACATTTTTGTGAATCCAGAAATACGCTGCTCCAGTAACATTTCCTTGCAGCTTGTGATGACAAATCCACTAGAGGCCGCTGTCTGCACTTTTGCAAATTTCTATTAGAAAGAAAGTAAAAAAAAACTCTTAGTCTTCTATAAGAAAAATATATTTGAGGAAATGCTTATATATAAATATAAAATATATGTTTATGACACAATTTCTATATACATTTAAATTTCTATGTACCACAGTTTTGTTTTTATGCACGTATATACAGTTGAAATCAGAATGAATAGCCCCCTGAATTATTAGCTGCTGTTTATTTATTTTCTCAATTTCTGTTTAACGGAGAGCAGATTTATTCAACACATTTCTAAACATAATAGTTTTAATAACTCATTTTTAATAACTGATTTCTGTTATCTTTGCCATGATGACAGTAAATATGCCAGCATATCTTTCTTTGGTTCAAACTGATGACAGCAGATTCTTTGTCTTTGCATGAATGCTTGCATGTGAAGGATGTCCTCAAGAAGGTTGATCAAATTCCGTTACCTCAGAAGACGAACTCAGGGGAACAGAGAACGTGTCCTGTGAGAAATGAGACGCTGTGTGCTTCCTGATGGTCATCGTGTGACCTTGACACATTTATAATGGAAAATTATTGAAACATTACAGCATTAAAACATGCAGAAAAGCCTTACAAAGACACTTTGCACAATACAAATAAAGCAGATTACAATATAAATTTCAGCAAATAAACACCTTTAATGTGTTCACGATATTCATATTATTGTTTACTTCAGCCTCACACTGTTACTGTAGATGATCTGATAAATTGTATTGTTTCATATTTAACTGTATGATTTCTCAATATACTGAAAATAGAAAATCACACAATGACGGTCAAAAAGTTTTTAAGTACCACATTCATGACACCAACACTGGTTTCAATAGGTGATTGTGTTGTTTAATGGAGTCTGTTGACTCAAAATGAGCTTAATTGGGGAATTTACACATGTGAAGACATCAGCATAATGAAGGAGGTGAAAACAGACACTATTGACATGAACTATTGAGGATTTCAGCAGCTCTGATTATAGTGATGAGCCTCAGACTATTAACGGCCATTAAACAAGCCATTCAGAAGTGTCCACTGATCTGCCCGCTTAAAAATAAAGACAACCGAGTTTCACTCTTTCATCCAAACTTTATTTCAAGTCTACAGGTTAGAAAATAATTACAGCAAAGATTAAACAGTACAATACAATCTATTGCTAAATGATAAAACATATGAGAAGACAAATAATCCTACATTTATAACTATGCTGGTTGTTTTATAATGCTTTAATGGTGCTGGAATCATGCTGCACACACAGAGAATACTGTAGATGTGCTGATAAATTGTATTGTTTTATATTTAACAGGGTTTGATTTATTAATATACAGAGAACTAAATAAACACACATTTCTACTTGGGAATAAGAATTTAAATTCATGTTTTCAATTATAACATTTATTAAAGTGTTAGTCTATCAATACTGACCTTTAATACTGAAATCATTAAAATACACCATTCGGTTTTTCTGTCGAACACAATAAATGTAGTAAAACAGGAGAGAATCTTGAATCTCAGAGTAAACAAATCACTGATAAGAGAAAATCCACAAACAACTGGACAGACTTTCCCCACTCACACCTGTATTTTCTCATATTCACACATGAAACACTCGTTCCTGATGGGAAACCGTTTTGCTGCATTGATGTCAAGTGTGCTGCTTTTCTCCAGTGTGGATTTTCATGTGTTTCTTAAGAGTACTCAAATGTGAGAAACTCTTCAGACACTGATCACATGTGTACGGTTTCTCTCCAGTGTGAATCTTCTCATGTGTTTTCAGGTTTTCTGGCTGACTGAATCTCTTGTCGCAGTGTGAACACTTATACGGTTTCTCTCCAGTGTGAATCCTCTCATGTGTTTTCAGGTTTGCTGGCAGACTGAATCTCTTATTGCAGTGTGAACACTTGTAAGGTTTCTCTCCAGTGTGATTCATCTGATGCAGTTTCAATTCTCCAGCTGTAATGAAAGTCTTCTCACACTCAAAGCACATATACTCTTTCACACCAGTGTGGATCTTCTGATGTGTTCTTAAATTTGTCTGCTGAGTAAAACTCTTTCCACACTCAGAACAGGAATACGGTTTCTCCTTTGTGTGAACTCTGAGATGTTTCTTCAGCTCTGAAGCCCTCAAAAATGTTTTGCCGCATTGATCACATTTGTGAGTTTTCTCTCCAGTGTGAATCAGCATGTGTAGATTAAGGTTTGATAAAACTCTGAAACGCTTCCCACATTGAGTACAGGTAAATGGCTTCTCTCCAGTGTGGATCCTCATGTGAATCTTAAGACTCTGTTTGGCTCTGAAACTCTTTCCACAGTGACTGCAGGTAAAATCATTTCGGTCTCCACTTTTCCTTGATAAAAAACCTTCAGTCAGTAAATGAGATGTTTTCCCCGCCTTTACAAGTGTCTGCTCTTCCCTCTTCTCATTCTCTTTAAGGTCTAAAAAAATTGTAAAAAATAAATAAATGAATAAATTAGCAAGTAAACAAAGAACAAAGAAAAAAATTATGAAAAAGTAAAATGACTCAAATTACAGAAGAATCACAAACTTTGAGTGGTGTGCAGCGTTTTAAATCCTTCCCAATTACAGTATCAGGACATTGGGACAATTTTTGCAACATATTAAAAATTAGGATTTTATTACTTTTATTTAGAAATTTAATAATCTGAACAAAACAAATCTCCTTGGTTAATACTTAGTTTGGTCTTATGATCGTAAATGTTAAATTAATCTTTTACAAATTGCAAAAGATACAGTTTCTATATTTTACACTGCTAATAAAGCCCATTTATTTTTCTGTTTTTTTAAAAAAAACATTTCCTAGTGCACATAAACAAATAAACTGATTAAAGTTTTTAATCCTTGTTGTTCTTTAGCCTGAATAATGAAGAATCAGCAATAAACACCAACCTGTTTGTTCTTCAGTCTCTTCCAGTTTAATTCTGCAGGGTTCTGGATCACTCATGTTCTCTCCGTCCTTCAGTAAACTCTCTGCAGATTTCACTTCCTCCTGATGGTCTGAAGTTCGTCTTCACTTGTGGACTGATGGGAATATTCCAGTATTTATAGCTGA